AAATGTTTTTGAGGGGTAATTGAGTCCTTTTGCATTACTAATACCAGAAATTCATCGTATTAGCAATACACTCCTCAATACACAATAGAGTGTATAAGTAATTTTTGCATTAGTTATATATAGCATGGAAAAGTGTACCAAACAAGGGACTACTAATACAAAGTGTTAATGCATACATTATTTTTGTTAATACACTTTACCAAATGTTTCCTTATTTCTTTATAATTTTGTACTATCCAAAAAAAGAAAAAGAAAAAGAAAAAAAGGATAGTACTAATATAGATCTATAGCTTCATTATTACCTTTTGAGATTTTGAGTTTGGTTTTGGATGCATTGAATTCTCGCTAATGTTTTTGTTATTTAACGCAATATTTAATTTTATTGAAGAATATACTATTGTTGAAACATAGAAATTAGAAAACTAAAACAAAAAAAATACAAAAAAGCGTTTTTCATATATAAATAAAAAATTAATTTTATAGATATTAATATAATTTTTTGACGAAAAAAGTTTGCTGGAATAAACCTCTTTTTGGCTTAGTAAATGTAATGATGCATAGAACTCACAAGCTGTTTTTACTCAAATGGAAACTTTAATGGACTATATATGTTACGTTAGAAAATTTATAACCATTGAGGATATGAACTATTCAACTTTTTCGAACCACAATCAAATTATTTTGTTTTATTATTCTTTTTGTATTATTGCCTTCATGTCATACTATATTAAGAAGTATTGGAAAAATACGTATCAGTGTGATTATATGATGAGATACAACGATTATGCACATATTTTATTTTTTTAATAATGGAAGGCCCAAAGTTAACTTAACTATCGAGATTTTGGCCTATTTAGATACATACTTTGTGAAATGATATATCTGCGATGAAATATATTGTTTCAGATCAATTCTTTATTACAATCGCTTTAGAGTCATTTTTATTTTTAAAAAAAAGATAACTAATATGTTTCACTTATTGAACAAGATTCTATTATTATTATTATTCATAATCCCTAAATGCCGAGGACATCCTTAAAATAATCTCGTAATTTCTATAAAATAAAAAAATAAAATTATACAAACTTTGAAAGTGATATTTTTCTTTAGTGGGATGAGAGTGGTTAATTCAAAGTCTAAAATATTTTTCTTTTAAAATGAAACATTTTTTTTTAATTTACGTTTACTCAATATAAATTTAAATTAATCAATTCAATACCGAATAATTGAAAATATTGAGGATGCTAGTGCAATAAAAAGACAAACTAGCTACAAAATCCTATTTTATATATTGTCAGATATATACCGACCTATCGACAATATTGTATGTATCAAATATTTTCATCTGTTCCAAGAAGATAAGGGTGCAGAGACAAAATGAATCTATAATTTTATTTCTCAATAAACTCTTTTATTAAATTAATATTATATTCGATCATGATTTCGATTCAACGCATTTTACTATCCTCATCCAACATTTTCTCCCTCCCTCACATCATGTCACACATATTGTAGTAATCGAACTCATAAATTTAATTTTGATCAGATATTATTTATTAAAGATATTTATGTTTTTTATTATGTTAAAAATTATTACTAATAATAAATACATAATTTTATTTTATTTATACCTGACGAAGTAGAGAGAAATACAATACAATAAACTTTTGTTATATGCGGGATATAGAGTGAGATATCTATGTTTTATAGCCTAAAAATTTATTCATTAATTTTTGTTCATTTTATTTTTACTTGTGAATTATTGTATTTGTGGTATATTACATCAATAATTATATAAAAAAATTATTTTCAGATACAATTCAAATTCATAATTTTTTTAATCACATGACAATAAATTTATAATTACGCAAATTTTTAGTTATATGATAATAAATTTATCAGTACTATTTTTATCTTTTGCCTTTTTCTGCCATGTGAATCCAACAATCTATAAATTAGTCACAGGAAGCTGCTCCCTTGGATGTATTATTTATAGAAAAACTGTTTTTTTTTTCCTTCCACCGACACTTGCTATTTACAATTACTTTTTTTTTTATAAGAATATAAAATGATGAAGTTTTTTATTTACATTTAAATCTTTCGTACTATATTATTAATTTTCACCTACAAAAGATATATTTTTTATATTAATGTACTACTTCTGGTCGTTTGAACGTCAAATTATTGCTTTTAATTATCAATAATGGAGTACTTTTATATCTGACCCCATATCTGAAAATTTCTTTATTTCCCTTCTTATTTATGTAAAAGATACACTAATATCTTTTTATAATAGTCATTTGTTCAATATTTTTTTTTTATAAAAATGTTGTTATGGATGAAAAATCGATTCCATACAAAACTTGATTGATATAGTGAAATATTTAGATAGATATAATTGGTTATAGAGAAATCTGACGATATTTATTATAAGCTTCTCAATTCTCTCCCAAGAAAGCAATATAGGAACAAGCTACACTCAACTGACTGTTGTATTTGTATAATGGTAAAAGAAACAATGAAGTATGCAACATTTTTCTTTTTGCGAGTTTTATATATGAATTATCAGGTGTTTACGTTTCTCACTTGAACTATCACCAAGTATTTATTAAAATATCTTGTGATGTTTTGCTTCACGACAACGGCTGCCTGATATTGTGGGATAGAGGTGTCAAAATGAGCACAAATATAGGTAACCCGCTTAACCCGTTCAAAATTTTATGGGTTGAGCTCAAAATAATTTTATTTAGTTTCAATTTAATACATTGTAAAAGAATTTTTAATTGAGCCCAATTTAATCTCCAATTTCAATCCGTTTTAAGACTCTTTATTTGCATGTGTAGTGCTAGCAAATGGTTGTATTGGACTGGATTTGAATAGATTGAGCCAAATATGATTGGATTATAGTCCACCCATATTTTATACAGATATATATGAATTCGGTCAAATATGTTTTGAATAAAATAGTTCTAATCCACTTTAATCTCCTAAAGCCAAAAAAACATTAAATCAATGTTAAATTGCTACTACCCCAATACTAACACCACCCCATCCCTAAATTACTATTATTTTTTTTAAAAAAAATAAAATAATTCTCATACAAAAAGAAATTTAAATTTGTTTCTACCTTGAACCCCATACCCACTCCACCCCCACCCGCATCTCTTACCACCCCCAATTTTTCAATTAAAAAAAATCACCAACCTACACATCCCTCACCCCTCCCCTTCCCCCACCCCCACCAACAATTTTTGTGGGGTATTGCTTCTCTTAGTCATATTCTTTTTGGAGATCCCTAACCTAGCTATATATCTTTGTGTTTTGCTCATCTCCAAACCTAGTTTAATTAACTACGACTTGCTTGTAGAGTCGTTTTTTCTTTTTGGGTTTCCCACCCGGTGTCCGGGGCTCACATTAGAACTCCGATTAAATTCGGATTGCGCACTGCAGGGCCCATTCGGAGGTGGCGCTCCCAACAGGATTTTCTCCATACCCAGGGCTCGAACCCGAGACCTCTGGTTAAGGGTAAAGCACTCCCACCAGTGCACCACAATCCATGTTGGTTGTACTGTCGTTTCGTTACACTTATATAGTAGGAGTAAATGTGAATGTTCCTAGGAATGTTTTAAATGTGCGCTATTAAAGTTAAAGTATTTACTTATCAGGCCAAGTTTGAGAATTTGTTTATGTAGTATGACAATGAAAAATGTATCAATAATGTCCCACGTAGTAAGTGACACGTACGACAAATATGGATTGCTATAATATTTAATATATATACAAAGGCATGGTGGCCAAAAATAATTAATAAATTAATTGAATCGAGAGTGGAACGCAAAACACAAATAGTTCAAAAACAAAACTAATATAACGGAAAATTGTTTAATTAGAAGCATATGCCATCTCTAGTGAAATTTTTACTTTTCACACACCTTGGAAGCTGAGGCCAAGCTAGCGGGGCAGAACCGCAGAAGGGGCTCTTAGTGAAAATCCTACCTCCACCATTGTCCGGAAGTTATCCTGCCCACTTACTAACTTCCTAGACATTCTGCAAAAACATTGGAAACAATTATTCTAACAAAACATGTGTTAAAAAAGGTCAGTTAAAACAAATAAAAAGGAGCATCAACAGAAAGCTTACCTGTTAGAGAACTGTATACAGTGTGCATTGCCAACTTCTCCACACAAAAGAATGTCCACTTTCCATTTCACCATTAGAACTGCCTTCGCTTCCAAGATCGACGGGGATACTTTACTTTGAAACTATTAAGAAAATGAACCTCGGGCCTTAGCTCAACCTCAAAAATTACCTGATGAAGTGAGCATTGTCCAAGACCATGTAAGGAGATAACCGTTCACTCACTGATCAACAACACGAGAAAATCAAACAGAGACGTACATCATTTACCAGTTCACCGCTCACCATCAAGAACTGATGTCTTACTCCCCAAATCTTCAATCTTGGGAAGCTTTGCTACGATATGCAACAACTTCCAATATAGTTCTGGAACGAGTGAAAAAGCTCAGACAGCTTGCTTCAGTCCATTGAGAGCTTTGTGATGTCTGCAGACAAGTCAGTGATATCATTCTGCTGGAGAACATGCTGATTGATATATTGATATATGACTAGTCACATTTGTTCTTTTTAAAAAGAAAATCCGCAGTGTCCAGCTCGGGGAGACTTTGTAGATTACCATCCCACCCCTCTATCCTTCTCAACTTAAATACTACGCTTTGGCTCCCCAGCAAGACTCGCACTCGTGATATACATACACCTACCACACATCTCACGCTGTACTACCTTTACCGTTGAACCAAAGCTCAAGGCTGATAAATGACTACATTTTTTCTTTCTGATAGCTGAGAAATCCGCTGTCTCCAGCTCCGAAACTTGGTGGATTACTGGCCCGTTCCATCCTTCTCAACTTAAATAGATTTGGATCCTCAGTCCTCAGCATGTCTTGAACACGTGATGCATGCCTACCACACATCTCACATTGTACTACCTTTACCATTGAACAAAAGCCCGGGCTGCATATATATGATTACATTATTTCACACTATACTGAATGATCAAAGTTTCAAGTCTTCTTATGATCTGAAGCACTTGTCCTCTGTTTCTCCTTAGCTTCCTTCTCTGCTTTCTTTCTCTCGAACTCCAGCTGCTTGCGATTTTCCTCTAAGGCTTGATTGAACATTCTTTGGAAGCTCATTAATGTCGAGACAACTAGGAGAAAACGTACAATAGAGGTAAGCTGAGGATCATCTCATTCTAAAGAAGAATTGTTTTAATAACCACAACTTAGAGGATATCAGTATGAAACAAGATATTAGATATATCCATATGAAATTTCTAACAGCTTTTGTACTGACACGACTGAAAATAGTAATAATTGTAAATATTGATTTCAACAATAAAAAAAGAACTCCAGAAAGGAATCAGATAGATGTATGAATGTTGTCGAACATCTGAAGCGAGTGCACAGAACAAAAAGTATAGCAAGGAAGAAGAGGAAAATGAACTTTTGAGTAAAATAGCAAAGATAATTGAATTTTCGATACAAAAGAAAGAAAAGTGACTTTGATCACCTATTTCTAGTAGTTCAGTGACCATTTTAGTAATAAACTCTTGGTTGCCTTGATTAAATATTACCTTGTTCAAATGGACAACGAGCAGGGTCTTCTCCAAAATAAATAATCAGCGAATCCACATTTTTACCCTGTCACATGTGGCAGAAAAGACACCAGACAAGGAATATTTCAATATCGTCGAAGTACTATAAGGACAAAAATACCCGTGTCACAAAAGGACAGACATACCACATCAGAAAAAAGTTGAGCCAAGGAACTGACTTCACCTTCAGCACAGCTAAGAAACTCCGTCAGAGCCTGGCAAGTAGAAGATACACAAACTAATGAGAACACCGGTGTCCTACAATATTTTTTTGTTTGTTATCCTGACAAAATGTGTGTAGCTAATTAGGAAAACTTTTTGATTGCTACTGTACAATGCTGAACCGGACACCACAGTTATAAAAATAATGTTATTGTACAATCTCAAATACTGGTCTCCTCTAAGTAGTAGGGGTTCCAAGAAGAAAATATTAGAGTTTGTCAGCGTGTTGGAACAAGAAAGTGATTACATAACAAAGACGATCATAAATGGCCTGAAATGTAACAGAATCAGTATATTTGTGGATTAGTTAAGCAGATAGATTACCTTACAGAAATTCTCAGACATTAGTCCATCATTTTCTGACATGGACAGCTCGTCTACAACTTTCTCCATTCCTTTGCTAATAGCTTTCATTTCCTCTGCCAAATATTTCAGTTGTATCTGAACAAAAATGGTATTGACTCAGTATTTCCATCCATGTCTCTAATGATTAATAACTATGTCATTAGCCGGTTCAAGTAAAGATACCTTCAATGCGGGTTCCAAGCTGGAAAGATCTTTAGAAAAATCAAGTAGTTCAGGCAATTTGTCCGTAAGGATCTGGCGGAAAAAAAATCATGAACTATTCTGCAAAATATGATTGTCACTAGCACAAGTAAAAGTTACTTCACATGCATTTTGTCAAGATAAAACCTTTAGTTTTTTCATCTTTTTATTTTTCCCTCTGATAGGTAGATAAAACCTTAAAATTTCATGCTGCATAGCCACCTTAAAGAAACCTTGATTGTCAAGAAGGATTGTGCTTGCTAAGATCAAGTGTTAGAGGTAAAGCAATATCAACAAGATGAAAAATCTGGCATTAAACATCACATCTACACACCAAATGCATGAGAGTGATCTTATTATGATCTCGTCAAGCATATAACCCCGTTATTCTGATCTCGTCAAGCATATAACCCCGTTTTTCTGATCTCGTCAAGCTATTTTCCGAGCGAAGATCCTTACCTTGCAAAGATAATGCATGAGAGTCATCTTATTGCTCCATGAACGTGTGTCCGTTAGTTTAAGGAGGCTGTCTAACTTGAACCCAGCAGCAGACCCTATACCGGTAGCATCAAGACAACAATAATTGCTCAAAGAAACACCAAATGGATAAGAATAGCATTCCATGAATCAAACACACAACAAATATTTCTAAGACTAGAAATGCATTAAGCGTTGAGAAATCACTGATTTTTTTAATCTTTCTATTGATATGCTAAAGTTGACAAGTAAAAATCAATGAATTTATTTTTACTGTAGTTGACAAGTAAAAGTGAACAGAAGGAGTATAATTCTGCAATTCTACTGCCCGGTTTCCCATCCTTTGTCTCTTTAAATCAAACAAAAGAAGAAGGCAATAAGACATAAGGAAAATATGGTGAGCAAAATATGCTTCTACTAAGAAACAAATAATAACCAACCTCTTGCAGTTCCCTGGTTGAGAGCATTTCCCAAATACAAAATTGTCTGCAGAACCCCTTTCAATTTCGATGAACCTCTGATCTGCTTAGGACATTGAAACGACACGGGATAGACAAGGATGTTAGAAAACATTTGAGTGTAATAAAAGATTGATCAATAAGGGAGACAAAGAAACAGAAGTAAAATATTTGCCTGATCAGTTGCTGAATTCACAATATTCAGATTGTTCCTTAGCTCAGAAATCTGAAAACATTGTAAAGAAAAAAACACCTTCAGCAAGATGAAACCCCACACTTCTAAATGCAGGCAGCGGATGCACTGTACTCTCACCTGGGATTGAAACTGAATAGTAAATGAGAAAACCCGTAGCTTGGACTCTATTCGTGGGACTTGCATCAGTTCTAACATAAACTGTTACAGAGCCATAGAAATATTATGTAAACTACAGGAAAAAGTCCCTGAAAGAGAAACTGATATCAAGAATCAAGATAAGGTTATTCAGAATGGCATTGGCAGACCTGTTCACATCTACCCAACTTCTCTTTTTCTCCTTTATAACCCTGCAACAGAAACAGAAACGTTGGATAAATGAGTTCGTCAACAACATTCCGATATGTATTGAGTAATATATCTTATTACATTTCTCTTGTGGAATAATTTCTTACCTTGAGCACTTCGATTTCCTCTTTTGTTGGGCAAAACTTAATCAGGTTCTCCACCTGATCAATATCTAATGCTGAATCTTCCAAAGCAAGCACTGAAGTCTATCACAAATATCAAAGTCGAATAAGACAACAACAGAGCCAGCATTCAATTTTCAACAGGTTACATAGTAAAGGTTAGTTCAACATATAGAAGGATTAACAGAAATCAATGAGAAGCTACATAGATTTATAGACTAGGAACACTGATGAAAAGAAGAGTATCATCACTAAGAAGGAGCATCAAAAGTGAAAATAAATTGAAGAGTTAAAGGTCAAACACACACCTAAAGTATCACGTTTTTGCGAGTTTCCTACTTGAACTATTAAGTGTTTACTTTTTCTACATAAACTATCACCAACTATATATCAAAACACACATGTACTATCAGCTGTTCCCTTTTCTTACCTGTACTATCACCATCGTTAAGGTAGGAAAAGGGAACAACTGATAGTTTAGGTGTGCTGTGATAAGTAGTTGGTGACATTTCAAGACTACATGTAGGAAAAATGAACACCTGATAGTTCAGGTAGGAAACTCACAAAAATGTGGCACCTCAGGTGTATTTTTGACCATTTTCTCTAAATTAAATGTATTTAACTATAAAACAATACAGAAGCGATTCCAAGTTGATTGAGACCTTAAAATGGTAAAAGAATTATTGGGCAAACATCACCAATCCTATTGAAGCCATGGAGAAGGAATTGTTAATCATTCAAATATGCACAGATAAATACAAACATATGGTTCATGAAGCTTTACTCGGGGAAATTTTTCTACACCAATCAAGCTGTGCCAAAAAAATATATCCAATATATGCAGATGAATTTTGCTTACCAGCATGTCGTGCAGTGGTATCTTCACCTTAGAAAGCATAATTTCACAATTATAAGCCCGTCTATGATCAACCTACAGAAAAGTAAAAAGGATTAAGATAAATTATCTTCTTACAACATTGTGTTAGAGCTAGTATCACAGTTTTGTCTTCTCTTTCCAGCTATTCATCAGGAGAGAACTCCAGTAGCGTCCGACAGTATAATACATGTATCAGGTAAGGGGGATTTATGCAATGTTACAAATTGTTTAACAAGATTGCATTTAGATCAGGTGTTTCAAAACATTAGGAAGCAAAATTCTGAAATATAATTTATCTAACCAGTGACATGTCATTAAAAGAAAACATCTAATCCAAATAACCAAGAAATTAAATTTATCTGTAGAGCTTAGTAATTTAGAGGATCAATAAACTGTTAGTCAGAATATGAGTGATATCCTGCATTAACTTCTGTGAATGAGAATGTGCTTATCTACTAACATAAGAGGGATATATATTAACTAGAGATACAATCAGCGATTAGATACTAGCATATGACATACAAAACATTGCTATATACTAATAATCAGGGTACCTCTATACGAATATGATAAGTCAGTCTGTTCCCTTTTTCAAGAAACTGATCACATTAACTGTCTAAGTGCCTTCAAATTTTGGTGTCCTATAAAATGGAACTGCAGTTCTTTATACGCTTAATATTTTGTTATATTAAGTAAATTTAAGAATGCTTTAAGTAAACAACAGCACAATCATCACAGAAACCATATGATTGCAAGAACTTGCCATCCTTGAAAATCCAACTAGGATTTATTGTGGCTTTTAATACTTGTGCTTGGCAGGGAGCATAGGAAAGGTTTCAAGTTAATGCAACAACAGTAACTGGTAAACATTTAATCTTTCAAGATGCTGGCACAATAGAAAGATATGATACTACAACCATGACGTTGTACAGTATTGCTTGGTGTTACAAGCTTAGGTTTTGATATAACAAATGTGCTTGGTCAGCGGTTATACTTGATGAAATCTCTATAATCACAATTTGTTAAGCTAAAAGCTCTCCAAACTGGAAATGACCTCATGTAAAACATGAAATGGTGTAACAGATGGGGATGAACGAGCAAGATGCATTAGGAAGATAATCAAGTATAAGAGCTTAAGAATTTTTTTTCAGAAAGTGCATAATTATATTAGTTAAGAACCTCAAGTAGCTTATAAATTTTTTTTAAAAAAATTAAGCTATTAATGTTTATGTCAAACAATGGAATGGTGCAAAGGGATTTTAATTAATTTCAGGAAAACATTTTGTGCATATAAATAAAAAAAAATTAGATAGAAGAGTCACCAGCTGCACTTTCTGAACTTTCTGTCCAAATTTGGTCTTTGAATTCCCGTTCGTTCCTGAACCGACTTGGTCTAAATTTTGAACAGAGAAGAAATATACAAGTTCTGGCATATCAATCACGGATGACCTATAAAACAGAAATGCAGAGAAGTAAATGAAACATTGTACTCTGGAAAAAGGAGTTGACCACATGGGCGCATTAACAATATGTCCAAAACCTACTTGGAGGCATAGCTACATTTTTCAATTTCAGCCCAAAAACTTCCTTGGACTGCTCTACTTATCTTTAACCAATGCAATGGCTTCAGCTTCTTTGTTGAATTGCTTCTTGAAGTCATAGTGCTAAACAACATCCGTCGGTAATTTTTGCTAGGTGGAGGAGCAATAGGAGGGGTTGGAGATGGAGAAGCAGGCATATTATTCACCTTAGGGAAAGGAACCGGAGGAGGAGGAACAGAAGGAACACTCTTTGGGAGATTATTATTATCCTTGAGAGATGAAACCAAGGAGGGAGGAGGTGGTGATGGTGGTACTGCATATAACTCTGTAGGCTTAGAAGCCTGTGATGAAGGCAAAGGAGGTGGTGGAGGTGGACAGGGTTTTTCGGTTAGAGAAAAATCCTCCTTCACAGGCTGCTCAGGAAGTGGTGGAGGTGGAGGTGGACAGGGTTTTTCAATTAGAGAAAAATCCTCCTTCACAGGCTGCTCAGGAAGCGGTGGAGGTGGAGGTGGAGGCAGAGGCAGTAGCATTCCACCTTTGGAAACTAGTCTTTCCTTCAAAGGTGGGGTAGGTGGAGATGGAGGTCGAGGTGGTCCACTTATTGAGGAACAATTCTTGTTCAACCCAGGGGTTGTAAGTAACAGGCATGGGGAAGAACTAGGTGTTGGTGGAGGCAGCGATGGCGGCGGTGGTGGTGGTGATGACCCACCACTGAAAGTTAAATTTTGCTTCAAAGGTGGTGTAGGAGGAGCTGAAGTTTGAGGAGTTCCACACACATAAGCAGAATTCTCCTCCAACACAGGGACTAAATGTGGTACAGGTGGTGGCAATGGTGACGTCCCATTCTTACTGACCAACTTTTCTTCTAAATGTTTGATATTGGGGGGTATGGGGCCTGATGGAGAAGGACTCCCAGAAGGGAAAGTAGGCAGAGAAGGTTCCATTTTGGCAATTATGTCATTCTCACATGGACTTAAAGGCATCCCAAGAGGAAGCAATGATGTGTAAGGTTGAGATACTGTAGTTGCATCATCTTTCAAACATATAGAATTAGTACTTTGGTCTCTGGGAGGAGTAGGCTGCGATGGAGAAGGTACATCCAATTTATCCTTGAGTGGTGGGAGTAGTGCTGGTGGCGTTGGAGCAGGAGATAGAGGCTTTCCAGTGACTATACCTTGATCCTTTGTCAATAAAGGTGGAAGAGTAGGCGACATGAGGACATTTGTCATGAGTGGTCGGTCCTTGATTTCAGATAGAGAAGAAACTTCTTGCAGCTTACCACATTCTTTTCCATGAAGTGAAGGATGTTCCACTGTTTTGCTTTCATGAGGTGACACTGGTGGTGATGTAACAGAAGCACTAGATTCTACACTAAAACCAGTAGAAGTAAGCATTGGAAAAGAGATTGATGGCTGCAACTTTATAATTTTCATCTCAGTTTTTCTTTGACATAATATATAACTACACTCAAACTTGGCATCAACTGGAAAGTAAACACTCCAAATTTGACTATGCACATCTAGACATCTCAACTCGTCTCCACCTTGTCAGTTGAACACTCCAACTTACAAAATGATCATCTAGATACCTCCAAAATTTATATGCCACATCAGCATCGGGTGTCCACGGGACACAATAAGGACGAGTTGTGAAGTGTTTCGTTGTTAGTTGAGGTGTCTAGATGTACACTCTCAAAGATGCAATGCTTACTTGCCAATGATGCCAAGTTTGAGTGTTTCTTTATGTATTATGCCTTTTTTTCCCAACAATCTGAAATTGAGCACTAGATTTTACACTAGTGCCAATAGGGAAAGGTTATGAAAGAGAGATTAATGGTTGCAAGTGTGACATTTTCATCTTACCTTTGGTTTCAACAAGTTGAAACACAGCTTCTTGTTTGTTGCTACGGTATGCTTCAGAGGATGACCCAACCTGCTGCTCCAAAGTAGACTGTGCCAAGCCCTTAGCATTATTCTCTAATGCTGCAGGTTCTTGCCTCTTTTGAGGGTTCTCCAAAGTAGCTTGATCAATGAGCTTGGTAGTGGCTGTTGTCTCAGGTGGAGATCCCAATTTTTCCAGGATCAAATTTGATTCAGTTATTTGTTCGAGCATATTGCTAGCAGCATCACCCTTTTGATTTAGCCAATCGGCACTGTTAATGATTTCCTGAACTTTAGCAAATGCCTCCACTGGAAGGCCATCCTTCTTATCGAAACAAGACAAATCAACAGGGACTACAGAAGCAGCAATATCCATGTCTGAAAAAAGAACCTTCGACCCGTGCATAATTGTAAACTGTTATGCTTCTTGATAGAGCGAACATAAAGATAACAGAAAAGTGAATCTAACGAGAATAGTGATACCTCAATTCTGAAGTCTTTTGGAAATTGATCCTTAGCATCCCACAATGTATCAACTTCATCACTGTTAAGTATCAGAATGCTTGACTGAATAAAAGATGTGTTAAACATGGTTCGAAACATCATTATTTCCCGGTCATCGTGCAAGCTAATACATTCCAAGACAACATCACCTTGTATATGACAATTGATATCAATCTTGACTAATTCACATTCTTCCTGCAACAACATGATAAATGCCTTGTCAATAGTTAGTGGGACTCCAAATTAGAGTTCATACACCATAAAAGATGGAAAGAGTAGGATAGAAAGTCCATATGGATTCTGTGATTGCTCAAGAATGTCGCATATAACAGGACCAAATACAACCAATTTTTACTTGAAGCCCCAATATAGAAGGAATTGTTGTAAAACTGAGGTGTCAGATCAACAAATCAGATACTCAAATGGTCCAATTAACTCTAAATCAAGTATCTTTGTTCCATAAAATCAACAATCTTGACATATTACCATGTAACCTACAACCACACATTGCTCAAGGGCAAAGAATGTATAAATTACTAGTCAAAGAAAGATGTCAGAAACTTCAGTAAATCAAATCATTAGATAGTGGATCATCGATCCACTTAAAATCTTATATAACACCCCTCGTCATCCTATCAAGGATAACACATTCAACATCCTCACTTTATATGCATTTTATCTAAAGAGTTTGACAAGTTCATCAATCATGATTTTTCAAAGTGAAGTTTAGGGGGAACAACTATTTCTTTGGTAAGTCTGAAGTTTATGGACAATTTGACCCCGTTTATGTGTCAATCCTGAACAAAGGATGTCCTTTTCCAGAGAACTTAACAAAGATTCCCTTTTTTTCCCCTCAAGGATAGCAACATTCCTGAAATTGCAAAGGATAGTTGAGTTTTCTGAAGGGGAAAAAATATCTAACCTGCTTGTAGTAACGGACAACATTACTTTTCTTTTGTGTTGAGAACAAACTTTTCGGAGACCGATCAGAAACTATTAATGGATCCTGTCCATAAATACGAAATATGGGCCGACAACCACCCTTGCCATCAAAGTCAGGTATCATCCTTATAATAATGCAATCCAGAGTGAGTGCTCTATCCAAGGGAGGCCATTGTGTGTTCAAGTTCCTTCTTGCTACATACTGTAAATATCTTAGTTGAGAAGGAATTGGATTTAGAGGTTGCATTAAGTGCAAAAGCTCGTGAGGAGCCTGCTTATAAATCATGTCTAAGGTCTTCTGTTCCCCATTGAAATGTCGTCTATATATCAATAATGCAGCCAACATAAATGCCAAAACTGGCCAACCACCCCATTCACAGTGTAGTAGGAGCACATTTTGCTGCCCGAGGGAGAGCCAACTTTCACTGGATCGAAGAAAATGGTTTATCATCTCCATAGAGAGCAAAGGGCATCCTTCATAGTGTCGAGGGTAATCCATTATGGTCACATCATGCTCGGAAAGATCGTTTGCAATCAGGCTTTCTGACTCACCCTGCCGAAAATTGAAAGCCAAAATTGACACGTCAGGGTAATGATCCCGAAGTTGGCTAATTACGCTTGCTACATTGCCTTTGTAATTTTTCTCTTCCCAAACATCAGTAGAGAAACACCTATCAAATACTGCAAATAACAACAGATGCACCTATTAGCTAAACTATTATATGCAGCAGGCAGATATTTTATAGTCATCTGCTTCATTTCATATCCAAATTAGTTCCCTCATATCTTACCATTTGAATTTTGAGCACACAGAAAAAGGACCTAACAGATAATCACTCCACAGTGAAATAGACATTCAAGTTAAAATATGAACAAATATAGCAACAATAGCAACCAATAACTAGTATACTTATAATCAAGGTAAAAGGTCAATTTTTTGAAATGGGGAGCTTTGGACAACTCACCGATTTTGTTTTACTTATTTAATAATTCTATTTTATCATTTACCCTATCTTTTTATAGTAGCTCTACCTCATACCCTACAATTTCTTGTATGTAACGACGGAGAACGATACAATCTATCTAAACATTATATTTATTAAAGCAATGTAGCACGATAACAATACAACACAATACAATTCAATACGATACATTATGAAACAGTACATAACAATCATCCAAACAAAGTGACAAAGCGCACAAAAGAAGGACCCGACAGATGATCAAATTCCGTTTCCACAGTAGAGTTAGACATTAAAGTTAAAATCCGAACAAATAAAGCAAAATTAGCACTTGTTTGTCTTCAAACAACAAATCGAAATTCGATCAAACAAATCAAATTTAGTGATTGGAGAAGTACTCATCCGGCTCAATCTCAACAAAGCAAAGAGTTAATAGGGTTTTCTAAAGAGTTAATTGAGCAATAAGTCAACTCAGAGAGAAAGAAAATGACCTAACAGATGATCACATCTACAGTTCCCATTTTCCACAGTAAAAAAATGACATTCAAGTTAAATTCTGAACAAATAAAGCAAAAATTAGCAATTATTTATCGAAATACGAACAAATAAATCAAACTCAGCAATCGGAGAAGTATTCATCCAGCTTGATCTCAACAAGCAAACAGTGAACATATGATCACTTCTACCGTTCCCATTTCCACAGTAAAATTAGAAATTCAAGTTAAAATCCGAACAAATAAAGCAAAATTAACAATTTACAACTCCAAATTACTCAAATTTAGTAGTAATTATCTAGCTCGATCGCAACAACCAAACAGAAAAAAAAAAAAGGAAAAAAAAAGGGGAAAACGAACCGTAAACTCTGTCGCCTCCGATCTCAAGCAGTCCATCTGGTGGCTTCCGATAGAACAATTTCCGAAACAACGCCATTGTTAATGGTTACTGAAGAAAACAGAGCTTCGTAGTTCCTTTACAATTAACAGAACTTTATGCTTTATTGCATCAATTTCGATATTTATATAAGTTTCTCCGTCGATGTGAAGAGGAAATTTGGTTCGTATTGATCGATTTTTTTTAGTATATATTTTTTCTTCATACACAAGAAAAGGAGAAGCTTACAGTACAAGTTGAGGGATCAACTACTATTAACAACTTTAACTGTTGTAGACGAAAATGCACAATTTTTACCGGGAAAATGGTCTATTTTTTTATTTTTTTTTCTTAAATCGAGAAATTAACATAAATCGCCGGGTGTATAGAGAAAAATAATTGAAGTGAATGAATAATATATAAGTAGTTAAATACTTGTGTACATGAAAAAAATAGTTTGGAAGATATATAATATATGCACATATATTAAGGGCCCGTTTGGCCATGCGATATGGTATCATGATATGGAATCATGAGATGAAATTGAAGGTTTGTTTGGACATGCGATATGAAATTTTTGTGTTGTATATTTTCTCATAAACATAAAAATCCCATAAGTTGTAAAACTATTAAAATAGCCCAAATTGTTTATTCAATCTTATCAAATAAACAAAAAATTATACAATCGCATAATAAATTATTACAAAGTTATTTGTTCTCCACTTAAGTAATTGTTTCATCTAACTTTAATTTAATAAAAAAAATTGAACATAAATTGTACTTGATATGCTCATATCTCTCAACTACTCTTACAAATAACCTATAAAGTAGAAAAAATACATACATTAATGAGTAAATATTAACTTAGAAGTTAAATACACTAAGATAAAAATTAACAAACATCACTGACTTCTAACTATTTACAAGAAAAATCAATAGTTAAATATTATAGACTAACGAAATTTTAAAAAGTTACCACAAGTTTGAGTCAAAAACACTTCTAATAAAATTTAATCAAAAAAATTATAACTAGTCCACTTGACTAAATATTAATAACTAATTGATCAAATTTTTCCCAAGTCCTCAATCCATTGGACTTGATATTCTTCAGTCATGTGAACGAACATTTTGCGAATACTAAGATTAAGAAAGTGCGGCATCGCCAATGAAAATCGTCTTTTATCAATATTATGCTTAGTCATAAGATTAAGACGTTTTTTTTATTATGAAAAATCAAAAAAGTATTACTCCCTTCGTTCTTATTTATATTCACCAAATGAATTTCTACTTTATCATTTATATTCACCAAATTTAAAGTAATAATAAAATTTTATATTGGTGAGAATAATAAATTTTAAAAAGTAATGATGTGATTATAAATTTTATTTACATATGAAACAAATGGTTAGTAGATATAAATGTGGGGTTGTTTTAACAAAATATAAACTCATGGATCAATTATTGTATTAAAATATCTCAAATCATGATATGGAATTGCCATATAATTCCATATCATGGTTTTTGGAGAATATGGTATCACCTCTCATGATATGGAATCATGAGATGGAATCAGCGTAAAATCGCATGTCCAAACGCTGATTCCATCTCACAACACCATATCATGATATGGTATCGCATGGCCAAACGCCTATTAAATATATTGATTATAATAAATATTTGTGATCGAGCAACTAACTCTGTAACATTCCTTTTTGTAGTTTCCTGATCAGGGACGGAGTCAGTGTAATTTGGATTATGCTGTTGATACATTATTACATTTTTTAATGTTTATATAGTAGATGTTAAACTCATTTGAATTGGTATGTTTACTTCATATTTTAACTCCTTCGGTAAAAATTATGGCTCCACTTCCCAACGATTGTTTGGAATCCATATTGAGGCTCTGGCTAATTTGAATTAACACCATTTAAGAAAGTATTGCTCCCTATAAGAATTTAATTCATATACTAGCTTTAAATCTAAAATATTTAATTAAGAATGAAGAAATTATATAAACTTCTGGACTCCTAATGGATGGGTCAATTTTAGTGAATCTATTGCGTACATTTACAAGATGATAAAAATATACTATTAGTCATTTCAATTTCATCATATATTAGGAGATTTACTAATTTCCGATATAACATGCAACTATTATATTTTACGTTTTACTTATACTTCATCCCATATACATGCAACTATTATATTAATTGATTGTTTTACTAATCGATTTGAATAGATTGGGCTTTTGTTCTTGACAATGTTTAGTCATAAGCATATCTCTTTTGGTCGTATCAATCTGGCCTATAAAACATTCTTTGTCCTTTTGGACAATGATAGGTAGTAGAGTAGTCAATCGATCTCAAACATGACAAATATATAGAAATACCTAGCTTGTAAGAGTTTAAGTTGTAAACATCTTTGTTGTAAGAAAAACATTTACACTAACCCAAACGACATCTACAGACAAACCTGTTTAATCTTGAAGATGAGATAGGTTACCTGCTTAATCAATTTATATAAAATTTCACTTGGTCATTTTATGATTATGCATCATTCAAGAACATAGTACATGGTGTTTGCTACTTAGTTCTAACCTGAAATCATCTGCTATAGTTTCTTGATCCACCAACTAACTCTAACGCCCTATTGAAAAGATTGATATAAAGAAACTAAAATCCAAAATCAAACTAGGATTTCGATTCATTTAATTGGTGGACGAGGGGTCTCCCATACATCAAAAATATCTTCATCACCATGAAGAGCAAAAAGACGATCACCATCAATTGAAAAATCACAAATCCAACCACCATGACTCTGTCGAACCTCTGATGTTAGAATCCAATCAGAACCGAGATTCTATCCTTCATTGATGAAAACAATTGTCCCTCATGAAATGCAAGTTTGGGATAGCAGTTGTTGTTACCTCCGAAAAAAGATGAATTCGTGTTGTCCCTTGTAGTTTCTTTCCATTCCACACTTGCATCAGTAGTACTTCTCAAATCAATGGAACCCAAACGCGCATTTTCATCTACTACACAAATGGAATAACTCTCCTCTATTGCTATCACGTCTCTAAACTTTGTTTGATCAGTAATATAAGGCTTTTTCACTCGATCCCTAACATCAGACCACGACATAACCATCGTGTTTTTCCTAAAATCTAACAAGCTGATGCAACAATTTTCATCCCTTGGATGAAAACTAGTGGCCATCAAACAGTTGGTACCGTGCAACCATTGCAACCGGCTAGCATTACCATATGTATAGTATGGCAAGAAATCTATCTGCTTACCTGTGACTTGGTCCCAAACACCGATTCCATGCTCATTGCTAGTACTTCTACAATTAAAGAATAACTTGTAATCCGAGCTACAACTTAGTATACCTGTTGTGTAATCATTCATTTCATCAGTAACCTGAAATTTATACCTCAATTCCCCTGTGGATGCCCTGAATAACCCTATGCCTCCATTAGCTATCTTTTCATCAGAGCTAACCACAATATTTTCAGAATCAACCCAACAAACATCGTTCACCTTACGATAATCAAGATTGATTGTAGGGTGTTCTTCTAGAATCAAGTCGTACACGTGAGCCACACTACCCTGACTCACACAGCACCAGCCATTCGGGCCAGCCTGAATGGCTGGTGTGAACTTACCATCTCCTACTAACAAGCCTGTTATGGACTTTGCCAGCCGGAGTCTATTGCCATCAAATGTATCACATTCAGCTGACTTGACATGATCCAAAATGCCATAATATTCAGCATCTCTGTATAGGAACTTTTTATCGATCTTTGGAGGAATATAAAGCTCCCCGGTTCTGAGTAAGTCCAAAAGGACACCAAAATAATCGGGATTTCTATCGATGAAGTGTTCAGTGATTGCTGCATCAGAATGCAGATTCCAATTCTCATCAAACATGGCTCCAAAGAATGATTTTTTGCCAGCTACTGCTAAGGTTGTTGCCGTAGTTTTGAAGATTTTGCCACCAACATTGAATTTCACCCTGTCTCTTGGAAATCCCATCATTCAGAAGTATCCAAAAAATACTGAAATGAACTTAAAATTGTGCTGAAAAAGTATTGTTTATATATATAACAATTCACCAAAGAGAGCTACATTTGGCATACAAAGAGTTTTGGTGTCTATTTAGTTTCTCCATGATTCAATGTAAGGATGTAAAAGGTTAGCATTAAAATTTCAGATTGAGACTATTAATTTTCATGATTAAGCCTTTGTTTATTCGACTTATTTGAATAGATTGGGATTTGTTTTCAGTAGCGTTTAGCCATAAGCCTGTGTCTATTTGTCGTGTGGTCGAGTCTATAAGATTATGAATGAGCTGTTATTATTGTCCTTTCAGATTACCGTCTTCTCCTCCTTTCTGCTGACGTTGTCTAATGTTTCCACACAATCTAATGATAGCGAAACTGTCTAGTACAATGGTCAATTGATCTCAGGCATTCACAAATAAAAATGCCTATAGAAGAGGCAGGGCAAGGGTAGTTATTGACAAATTGTTTTAAATTATATACATGCTCAGTGTAAAGAACATTTTACTCTATCAGGTTACCAAATGACATCTATAGATAAGCCTTCTTATCATGTAGGGCTTGTAATCTCGAAAACTATGAACTAACTATAATGACCTCTTGAAATCATCGATATAAATAAAAGAAACAAATTAAACTAGGATATAGATTCATATAATTAGCGGACGAGGGGTCTTCCATACATCAATAACATTTTCTTCTTTACCAAGAGCAAAAAGACAGCACTACCAATTGCAAAATCACTAATCAAACCACCATGAGTCTGTCGAAGCTCTGATGTTACTACGATCCAATCAGAACCACAATAAACTGAAATACTATCATCCATTGATGAAAACAGTTGCCCCTCATGAAATGTCAATTAGTTATAACAAGGTTTAGTACTCACGCGAGTAGCGAAAAGCTTAACACCTTTGGTAGATTCTCTGCATTTTACCCTTAGCTCAGTAAAATGGAAATGCTACATAAATAATTAACCTTTGATGCACCAGGAATCTAAAAAAGCTGTTTGGTTTATCAGTTTTAAAGAAACTTCCAATTTACTTTATTCGAAGGATCCTGAGAAGATTAACGATAAAAACTTACCCACACACGGTGTTTACATCAA